GGACTCGACTCTTTTTTCTAGGGCTGCCGTTCTGGTCCCTAATGCATAAATCTCTTGACTTCGGCAGCATTTCTAGCTATCTCTGTTGCCAGGTAGGATCTTACCTCTGCCAAGGTCGCCAGTATCTGTTTGGCATCCGTTTCTTGGGGCCCAGGTGTGGCGCTGGATCCAGGGCTAGAGGGTGAACGAGGCCCTCCAGAGCTCTCCCGTCCGCCATCTTGGGTGGTATTTCTCATGACGCGGGAGGCTGCAAAGAGATCCGACACCGTTGCGCCCTGTTCCTGCTGTCTTTTGCTTGCCTTCTTGGGGGCTCCTTTGTCCATTTCGGGTTCCCCTGCAGGTATTTGGCAATTTACCTCCGATCTGCTGCTTTTATTTGCTGTTGGTCCGGCGGAGCTTCACACGGACACGTCCAGCTCGCTCCTACCGCAGACCACGCCATCAAAAATGGGTTAATTCTTAACATTACATTTCAGTACATATTTGCAATTTCATCAGGATACTGATGAAAGTCAAAATATTGACTGAAATATTGATGTTAAGAATTTACCCATTTTTGAAAGAAATTCAAGTTCACGAGAAGACCACTGAGCGCTCTCCTTTGAGGTAACTTCTATGTGTGTGTGTGTGTATATATATATATGTAATATATATATGTTATATATCTATAAAAACATGCTAGTTAAAATGCATACACAGAACAGTGTCATGTTGCCCCACAAAAAATGCCATGTTTGTTGGCCCATTTAACCTATGTCAAATCAGGTACCCAGTAATAAATTCAGTAGGTTTTCCATTTAATAAATACCACAGTATGTTTGCCCATTAACAAATACCACAGTAAGTATGCTTGTTTATTAAAGGGACACTATAGTCACCTGAGCAACTTTAACTTAATGAAGCAGTTTTGGTGTATAGAACATGCCCCTGCAGCCTCACTGCTCAATTCTCTGCCATTTAGGAGTTAAATCCCTTTGTTTATGAACCCTAGTCACACCTCCCTGCATGTGACTTGCACAGCCTTCCATAAACACTTCCTGTAAAGAGAGCCCTATTTAGGCTTTCTTTATTGCAAGTTCTGTTTAATTAAGATTTTCTTATCCCCTGCTATGTTAATAGCTTGCTAGACCCTGCAAGATCCTCCTGTATGTGATTAAAGTTCAATTTAGAGATTGAGATACAATTATTTAAGGTAAATTACATCTGTTTGAAAGTGAAACCAGTTGTTTTTTTTTTCATGCAGGCTCTGTCAATCATAGCCAGGGGAGGTGTGGCTAGGGCTGCATAAACAGAAACAAAGTGATTTAACTTCTAAATGACAGTGAATTGAGCAGAGAAATTGCAGGGGAATGATCTATACACTAAAACTGCTTTATTTAGCTAAAGTAATTTAGGTGACTATAGTGTTCCTTTAAGGAGCAAATGTAATGTTAACGCATAATAAAATTAAATGTATGCTTACTAATGCAAGGAGCCTAAATAACAAAATGGGGGAACTAGAGGCATTAGCATATACTAAACAATATGATATAATAGGCATAACTGAAACATGGTGGGATGAGACACATGACTGGGCAGTTAACTTAAATGGGTACATGTTATTTAAGAAGGATAGGAAAAACAAGAAGGGTGGTTGGGTATGTTTGTATGTCAACCATGATTTAAAGCCAAATCTTAAGCAAATGGAATGCGATGAGGAAAATGTGGAAGTTTTATGGGTAAATATCTGCTTTGGGGAAAAGAAGGGAAACCAACTATTGGTTGGGATATGTTATAAACCACCTAATGTTAATATTGATGAGGAACAACAGCTGTTTGAGCAAATTGAGAAAGCTGCAAATCTGGGTAACACTTTAATTATTGGTGATTTTAATTACCCGGAAATAAATTGGGACAGAGGGACTAGTAGCTCAGCAAATGGAATTAGGTTTTTAAACTTGTTAAATGACAACTTCATGTCACAACTTGTACAAACACCAACCAGAATGGACGCTTGTCTGGACCTGGTTTTAACAAACAACGTTGATCTTTTGACCAACATTCAAGTAGGTGAGCACTTGGGAAATAGTGATCACAATATAGTGTCCTTTGAAATAAACTCAAAAAAACAAAAGCACTATAATTTTGAAAAGGCCAATTTCAATAAGTTAAGGGAAGCTTTACAATATATTGACTGGCATAAACTCTTTAGTGAAAAGAACACTGAGGATAAATGGATCATCTTCCAACAAATATTAGAAAGGTACATTTCTCAGTATGTACCATTGGGAAATAAATATAAAAGAAACAAATTAAAACCAATGTGGCTTAGTAGAGAAGTAAAACAAGAGATTAAAAATAAGAAAAGGGCATTTAAAGCATTTAAATCGGACAAATCAGATATAAGGAAGCAAATAATGCGTGTAAAAAGGCAATCAGACTTGCTAAACTTCAAAATGAAAAAATGATAGCTAAAGAGAGAAAAACCAACCCCAACGCATTTTTTAAGTACATAAATTCTAAAAAACCCAATAATGAAAGTGTAGGTACACTAAAAACTGAAACAAGGGTGTTAGTTAATGAAGACCAGGAAAAGGCAGGAAGTTTAAATAACTATTTCTCCTCTGTATATATTAAGGAAGAACCCATGGCAATAGATGTGCAAATGATTGCTACTAAAAACTTGCAGAATAATTGTAATTGGTTAACTCAAGACAAGTTGCTGTAGCAACTAAAGAAAGTTAATAAAAACAAAGCTCCGGGGCCTGACGGTATCCATCCATGAGTACTTAAGGAACTAAGTGTAGAAATAAGTGAACCTCTGTTTTTAATCTTTCAAGATTCTTTTCTTTCAGGAAGTGTTCCGGAGGATTGGAGGAAGGCAGATGTGGTTCCTATATTCAAAAAGGGTTCAAAATCCTTGCCTGGAAATTATAGACATGTGAGCTTACCTTCTGTGGCTGGTAAAATATTTGAAAGGTTATTAAGGGATAATACTCAAGAATTCCTTGAGAAGAACATGGTTATCAGCAAAAATCAGCACGGTTTTATAAAGCACAGGTCATGTCAAACTAACTTGATTGCGTTCTATGAAGAAGTAAATAGAAGTATAGATCAGGGTGTTGCCGTGGATGTGATCTATTTGGATTTTGCCAAGGCATTTGATACAGTTCCACACAATAGATTAGTGTTCAAACTCAAGGAAATCGGTCTAGATGAAAATGCTTGTTCTTGTGTAGAACATTGGCTTAAAAACAGAGTACAAAGAGTTGTCATTAATGGTAAATTTTCAAGCTGGACAGAGGTGGCAAGTGGTGTCCCTCAGGGGTCTGTTCTGGGACCCCTTCTATTTAACATGTTTATAAATGATCTTGAAGACAGCATTGAAAGTCATGTTTCAGTGTTTGCAGATGTCACAAAACTTTGTAAAATAATACAATGTGAGCAAGATATTACTTTGCTGCAGAGGGATTTAGATAGACTGGGGGACTGGGCACTCAAATGGCAGATGAAATTTAATGTTGAAAAATGCAAAAAGTTATGCACTTCGGCGTAAAGAATACACAAGCAACGTATACCCTTAATGGAAGCGAATTAGGGATAACAACACACGAAAAGGACTTGGGAATTGTTATAGACAACAAACTATGCAACAATGTGCAATGTCAATCAGCAGTGGCCAAGGCCAGTAAGGTATTGTCATGCATGAAAAAGGGCATTCATTCTCGAGAATATCATTTTGCCTCTTTATAGATCACTGGTAAGACCCCATATTGAATATGCTGTGCAATTTTGGGCACCTGTTCTAAAGAAGGATATTATGGCACTAGAAAAAAGTGCAGAGACGGGCTACAAAATTAATAAAAGGAATGAAACATATCAGCTATGAAGAAAGGTTAACAAATGTAAACCTATTTAGTTTAGAAAAACGTCGCCTGAGAGGGGATATGATAACATTATACAAATATATTCGGGGCCAATACAAACCATTGTGTGGAAATCTATTCACAAACCGGACTTTACATAGGACACAAGGCCATGCGTTTAGACTGGAAGAAAGAAGATTTCGTCTAAGGCAAAGGAAATGTTTTTTTACTGTAAGAACAATCAGGATGTGGAATTTTCTGCCTGAAGAAGTGGTTTTATCAGAGTCCAGACAGATGTTCAAACAGCTACTAGATGCATACTTGCAAAAACAGAATATTCAAGATATAATCTTTCAACGTAGGGTAATAACTGCTTGATCCAAGGATAAATCTGACTGCCATTCTGGGTTTTTTTTTTTCCTAGCTTGTTGCAAAATTGTGCTTCAAACTGGGGTTTTTTTGCCTTCTTTTGTCAACAGCAAAAAACAAATGTGAGGAAGGCTGAACTTGATGGACGCAAGTCTCTTTTCAGCTATGTAACTATGTAACTATGTATATGTAATGTGATACTTATTAACAGGCAGAGTTACTGTGGTATATATTATTAATGGGCATACTTACTGTGATGTTATTTCTTAATTAATAAATACCACAGTAACAATAGAAAAATATATATGCTAGTAGAATAAAATACAGTGAAAATAAAAATCCAGTGCAAAAAAGGTGTGTGACTTATATATCTTATACAAATGTCTGTTGATTCAGATATATGCACATGACACAAAATGGTATCAAAGACCTTCAATAAAAAAAGAAAACAGCAAGTATGGTATGACCTGTAAAAGTTGTAAAACAATACGATGGGGTTGGACTATAACTCATATGTCCCAGAGCCATACTACGCTCTGTGTGAAAGGCCAAATAGTGCCAATAAATGAAGAAAGTCTCTTTGTATAATGATAAACTAGAATGGTGACTTTGAAGGGAAATTTATATTGAGAAAATCTAGGAGTGTTATTTAGGCAATAATCAGATTTGGGAACACATATTCAGTCCTGAAGGGAGATCCAGTAGAAGAGTTAGGTCCAGTCTGGGTCGGTGTCAGGTAAGTAAATTGTGAGGGAAATCCAAAAGAGAAGTTAAAATCCAATCCTGGCAGCCTGGGTAGCCGCTGTCCACCATGGTGTCCCGTGCCCTCTGTGTGTGTCCTCGCAGAGCGCTCCGTCCCCTTCCCCGCCGCCCCGGGCGGATCCTGAGCCCGGCAACCTGCAGGCAGAGATCGTCCTTGTCGAGGCCATCCGGCCCAGGCCCAATCCTCGTCCCCCAGGTTTCCACCTCCTTATTTCAGTTATGCCGCCAGTATGGAGACCTCCCTCCCCTCACGGTGGAGAACATTTCAGAACGAGTATTATATGTCTTGAAGTTGTACGATAAGATTGACCCTGAAAAGCTGGCTGTGAGCTCGCACTTCATGAAAAATCTGGGATTAGATAGTTTGGACCAAGTCGAAATAATCATGGCAATGGAGGATGAGTTTGGCTTCGAGATTCAAGACGCAGATGACGAGAAGTTGATGACACCACAGGAGATTGTAGATTACATTGCAGATAAAAAGGATGTTTATGAATGAACAATACACGTCTCACTCTATGTTCATTGATGCTGTCTCTCTGAAGGTAGTTGGGGTGGGCGTTCTGTGATCGCGCCTGCATGCAGTGACTTTGCAACTGCCGTCAGCACTTCTTCCAGAATCCTGTATTTAAGCTGTCTGAATGTGTTGGCCTTTAATAAATGTGTACAAAATGTAAAAAAAAAAAAAAAAAAATCCAATCCGGTTTGACAACAAGAATGTAGTCCTTTAAGAGAAAGTTCCGGTATCAGTCGGTGGCAGGTAAGCAATCCGCAAGGGTAGATCCAAGAGAGAAGTTAAAGTCCAATCCGGGTTGGCAACGAGAGTAGTGAAAAGTGCCATATTTTCTAATCTCTCGTCCCTTTAAGGAGACACTTATGTTTGTAACGTAAACATATTTAAATATTCAACGTTAGTGCCTCAGGGCACAATTAATGTGTTTATCCCTGTATATGGTTGAAACCTATTTCCTCTCCTATAGGTGCCGTTCTAACGAGTCTAAGTGACTCATCTACCCTGCTCTGATTTTCCCAAATTTTACCTAAATAGGTAAATTGTTCCTAAATCAGATCAGGGTAGATAAGTCAGACTCGGTAGAGCGGCACCTATAGGGGAATTGGACTATAACGTCTCTCTTTGATCTACCTTTGCGGATTGCTTACCTGCCACTGACCGGGACTGGACCTAACTCTTCTATTGGATTACCCTTAAAGGAATACATTCTTGTTGTCAAACCGGATTGGATTTTAACTTCTCTGTTAGAAATGTCAGTGTCTCCTAAAAAGGAGAGAGATGAGAAAATATGGCACTTTGCAAAGAAACAGTTACATTACTCTACCTCCTAGGTAGCAATTGTTTCCATAGATAAAATGAACAATCCTACCGAATGGCACTCTCCTGACGTGTGTAAAAGAAGAAGGCATTCTTCAGAGTTCAGTGGTGTTCATGAGTTAAAGTGTCCGATTTGAGTTCCATGAACTCGACGACCAAACACCACTGCCTGCGTTCATGCAAACAAGATGGCTGCCAACTCAGTTCCCACGTGTTTGTGCATATGAACGGCGACCACCCAGCCACACAATTAGAATCCATGATGATGGAGGTGTCAGGAGAGGTTAATAGGGGTTAACAAGCACAGAGGTGGTCTGCAGTTCGTGAGTTTGTTCAGTTCACAAACAATACAGGGAAATCCCATGAACAAAGTCTTTTAACATGTCTTTTACATGGTCCATAGTCCTTGGGCAGGAGGCCCAAGAGCTCATGGCAAATGTACGTGTGATGAGCGTTTGTCACACCTGTGTTCTATCAGAAATCTATATCTATCAGATTTCTATACCTAGGTCACTTCCGGTGCACCCATGTCACCAGAAGTGAAGCGATATCAGCTGTGTGCATGCTTACTAGCAGGCCTCAGGGTATAGAATTCTGATAGAATTCTGGCGGAGGCACTGCGTGCATGCGCACCACCTCCAATGATGCTTGATCATGCGCGCGGTACATCCATCAGGTATTGGAATCTGATATACAAATCTGACAGGTGTACTGCGCATGCGCGCAGAACATCCTTCAGATATAGCAATCTGACGGTTGCACTGCGCATGAGGGCGGCACATCCGTCAGATATAAATCTGATATACAAATCTGACGGGTGTACTGTGCATGCGCCAGTCAGATTTCTATACCACAGCTTTCACTGTGTAGTAGCATAAATAAGGATTCATGGGGATGGAGGGGTTTAATGATGTGACACACGGGATTGGGTGTGTCACACAGGGGTGGGGGGATATAAACTTGGGATGGCAGGGTTAATGGTGTGACAAACAGGGATGGGGGGTTAATGATTGTGATCCCATGACTGTCACTTCACAACACTGCATCCTTTGTCTGTCAACCCATTACACCCTGTTCCAAGTTATTATGCAAATTCTATTTAAGTGTCACAAAGATTAAATATTTTGTTTCTCAGTTTAACTCATGGATGGCATTGTGTCTCAAGGCTCATTTGATCACTGAAAACAATCTCGGACACCTGTGATAATTAGATTGGCAGGTGAGCCCAATTTAAGGAAAAACTACTAAAGGAGTTATTATTATTAAGCAGAGCACCATTTTCATGCAATATGGGGAAGAAAAAGGATCTCTCTGCTGCCGAAAAGAGTGAAGTAGTTCAATGCCTTGGACGAGGTATGAAAATATTAGATATTTCACGAAAACGTAAACGTGATCATCGCACTATTAAGAGATTTGTGGCTGATTCAGAGCACAGATGGGTTCGTGCAGATAAATGCACATTGTGGAAGATTTCTGCCAGATCCATGCCAGATCCATGCATCGGATCAAGAGAGCAGCTGCTAAAATATCATTACATAGCAGCAAACAGATATTTCTGGAGTCCCACGGACATCAAGGTGTAGAGTCCTCCCGAGTTTTACAACTGTGCATAAACCTTCTATTCGGCCACCACTAACCAATGCTCACAAGCAGAAACGGCTGCATTGGGCAGAAAAATACATGAAGACTAATTTTCAAACAGTCCTGTTCACTGATGAGTGCCGTGCAACCCTGGATGGTCCAGATGGATGGAGTAGTGGATTGTTGGTGGACGGCCACCCTGTTCCAACAAGGCTGTGACGTCAGCAAGGTCGTGGTGGAGTCAGGTTTTGGGCCGGAATCATTGGAAGAGAGCTGGTCGGTCCTTTTAGGGTCCCCGAAGGTGTAAAGATGACCTCTGCAAAGTATGTAGAGTTTCTGACTGACCACTTTCTTCCCTGGTGCAGAAGGAAGAACTATGCTTTCCGTAATAAAATCATCTTCATGTATGACAATGCACCAGCTCGTGCTGCAAAGAATACCTCTGCATCAATGGCTGCTATGGGAATAAAAAGAGAGAAAGTCGTGGTGCGGCCTCCATCCACCCCTGACCTCAATCCTATTGAGAACCTTTGGAGCATCCTCAAGCAAAAGGTCTATAAGGGTGGGAGGCAGTTTACATCCAAACAGCAGCTCTGGGAGGCTATTCTGACATCTTGCAAACAAATTCAAGCAGCAACTATCCAAAAACTCACAAGTTCAATGGATGCAAGACTTGTGAAGCTGCTATCAAATAAAGGGTCCTATGTTAAAATGTAACGTGACCTGTTAAAATGTTTAAAAAGTTAAAATGTAGTTATAAGTTGATTGAAATAGCTTTTGATTTCAGTAAATATGCTGCAAACACAACAAATGACAATTTTCAGTTCTTTACAACCTAAAAAGTGTTTTGAAACTTACTGTGCGTAATAATTTGGAACAGTGCATTGTACGTTTTTTATGTTTTAAAAAATACTGTTATCAAGCGGTTTGTTCAATAAAATATGAATTGTACTCTTAATAATTGATAACATGAGAATTATGCTGACTGTTATTTACATAAATTATTTAGGTAAATCAGAAAAATATAATTTGCATAATAATTTGGAACAGGGTGTAATCCTCTCCCCCAACCCCAGTGTGTCACCCCCATCAGTGAAAGCTGTGGTATAGAAATCTGATAGATGTACACGCATGCGCAGTAAACCCGTCAGATTTGTATATCAGATACCTCTCTGTGAATTGTCTTTATGTTTTGCCTGTATTTGTGACTAGTGATGTCGCGAACCCGAAATTTTCGGTTCGCGAACGGCGAACGCGAACTTCCGCAAATGTTCGCGAACCGGCGAACCGCCCGAAACGCCATTGACTTCAATGGGGAGGCGAATTTTAAAACACACAGGGACTCTTTCTGGCCACAATAGGGATGGAAAAGTTGTTTCAAGGGGACTAACACCTGGACTGTGGCATGCCGGAGGGGGATCCATGGCAAAACTCCCATGGAAAATTACACAGTTGATACAGAGTCTGGTTTTAATCCAAAGGGCAGAAATCACCTAACATTCCTAAATCACAATGAATATGGATTGACACCTGACATATGACATATTGACACCTTGACATATGGATTGACACCTGTCCTCAGAGCCCCTGATGCACACTGACACAGAGCAGAATAGGGACTGTTCCCCTACATCGGGTCACTTGGCAGATATGGATTGACACCTTGTTACAAACTGCTATTTGAGCGGGCCCTTTAAATGGCAAATTGCCCTGTTTCCCTGGGTTGTGGAGAAGCCTCTTTGCCAGCCTCCTCCGCGCTTGACTATGGCCCCTGGGAGATTGTGAAAATGTATGCACTTTTATTTGGTGTGTATGGCCCTTTAAGACTGTCGGTGGGCATATTGGGGCTTATGTGACTGGTGCTGGCCCTTTAAACACCTTTTTTGGGACATCAGGAAGATTGGGACACTGCCCCTTTAAGGCCGTGTCCCCAGACTTGTTGGGGACACGGCCCCTTTAAGACGGTGTCCCCTGTGTCCACAGACCTGGTGCAAACCCTTTGTGCCTGCCTTGCTATTTCCCACTTGGTTCAGTAAATGGGAAATTATTTCAGCTGCAGAGACTAAGTCCCATTGATGGGACTTGGAATAGCACACACAACCGTTTTTTGACACTATTTCAGCTGCAGGAGGGCCTTTAAGTCCCATTCGTGATGGGACTTAGTCTTTCAACGTTTTTTCAGCCTTATTTCAGCTGCAGAAATTTAAATTCCCATTAAGTGATGGGACTTAGTCTTTTCAACCGTTTTTCAGCCTTATTTCAGCTGCAGGGCTAAGTCCCGACCGGTGATGGGACTTGATCTTTCAACTTAACTTATTTCAGCTGCAGAGACTAAGTCCCATTAGCGATGGGACTTGAGTGGATTTTCAACCTGAAATAGACCGACCTCACAGCCCAAATCTATATGGAACTGTTTTGGGCAGGAAAATGTGCTTGCAGTCGGTCATAAAGGGACCTCCAGCTAACTTTTTAACCCCTGGATGGATTTGGCTGATTTTTGGTTATGTTTGTTTTAAGTGTGCTGATTCCAAATATGTAATTATGAAGATGGGATGTGTAGTTTTAAAGTTACAGGGTATGGCTAAAAACTGTATTTTTACTGCCTGTGTTTAATTATGTTAATCTCTTCCCCAACGTCATTTCGTTCAAAGTGGAGAGAATGTTAAAAAAATATATTTTTGTTCGGAGTGTGAGAAATGCTTTTCAGCCGCTTCTAATCTTAAGCATCATTTGAGGAGCCATACAGGAAAGAAACCTTATTTGTGGTGTGTTTAGTATTGTT